AAAAAAAAACGCTGAAATACCAGAGGAAATCTACATGAAATTTACCAAAAAAACACCAAAGAACCAGAAGGATATCTATAAGGAATTTGCCAGAAAAGCGCCGAAGGACCATAGAGAAATTTACAAGAGAATTCTCCAAAAAAAAAAAATGCCAAAGAACTAGAAAGATATCTACAAGGAATTCACCAGAAAAATGCCGAAGGACCAGAGGGAAATCTACAAGAGAATTCTCCAAAAAAACCACTGAAATACCAGAGGGAAATCCACAAGGAATTCGCCAGAAAAACGCTGAAGGACTAAAAGAATATCCACAAGGAATTCACCAGAAAAATACCGAAGGACCAGAGAGAAATCCACAAAAAGAATTCTCCAAACAAAAAAAAGTCAAAATATCTACAAGAAATTCACCAAAAGACCGCCGAAGGACCAGAGGAAAATCCACAAGAAAATTCTCCAAAAAAAACGCCGAAATACCAGAGGGAAATCCACAAGGAATTTGCCAGAAAAACGCTGAAGGACTAAAGGGATATCTACAAGGAATTCGCCAGAAAAATGCCAAAGAACTAGAGGGAAATCCACAAAAAGAATTCTCTAAAAAAAAAATGTCAAAATATCCACAAGAAATTCACCAGAAGACTGCCTAAGGCCCAGAGGAAAATCCACAAGAAAATTCTCCAAAAAAAAATACCGAAGGACCAGAGGGAAATCCACAAAAGAATCCTCTATAAAAAAAACGCCAAAGGACCAGAGGGAAATCCACAAGAAAATGGTTAGACTTTCTTGTTAACATTCCTCTGGTTTCACAAAAAAGTTCACCAACTAAATGCCGAAAAGACAAGAGGAAAGTCTACAAGAAAAGTCTTCAAAAAAAAATACAGAAAGGCAAGAAGAAAGTCTGCAAGTTCTCCAAAAATATTGAAAGACAGGAGGAAAGTCCACAAGAAAGTTCAAAAATACTGAAAACATGAAAATCCACAAGTTCTCCAACAAATAAAAGATCTACAAGGAAGTTCACTAACCAATTCCGAAAGATTAGTAAAAGTCTACAATATTCACTAGAAATGTTGAAAGAATAAAAGAAAGTTCACTTACTAATAAACATCGAAAGACAAGAGGAAAGTCTGCAAAAAAGTTCTCCAAAAACGTTGAAAGACAGGAGGAAAGTCTACAAGTTCATAAAAACACCGAAAACCACAAGATCCACGAGAAAGTTCACCAACCAATTTCGAAAGATTAGTAAAAGTCTACAAGGTTTACTAGAAAAGTTGAAAGATCAGAAGAAAAGTTCACTTACTAATAAATGCCGAAAGACAAGAGAAAGTCTGCAAGAAAGTTCTCCAAAAATATCAAAAGATAGGAGGAAAGTCTACAAGAAAGTTCTTCAAAACCACCAAAAACAACAAGAAAGTTTTCCAACAAAAGATCTACAAAAAAGTTCAACCAATTATGAAAATTAGTAAAAGTCTACAAGGTACTAGAAAATGTCAAAAGATCAGGAGAAAGTTCACTTACTAATAAATGCTGAAAGACAAGAGGAAAGTCTGCAAGTTTCCAAAAATGTCGAAAGACAAGAGGAAAGTCTGCAAGTTCTCCAAAAACGTCGAAAGACAGGAGGAAAGTCTACGAGAAAATTCTTCAAAAACACCGAAAACCACACGAAAGTTCTCTAACAAAAGATCCACGAGAAAGTTCAACCAATTTCGAGAAATTAGTGAAAGTCTACAAGGTTTGCTAGAAAATGTTTTTTTTATACATTTATATATAATTGTTTTTTAAATAGATAAGGTTTAACTGTTAGTAACAAAAAACAAAAAAAAACTAACAAGAACGATATACACAACATAATGAAAATTTTATCGATCGTACACTAACGATATTAATCTAAAATAAATTAAAGTTACGAGTTACCGACCGGTATATTCTGGAATTTCTAGAACCGTAAAAAGTTATTTTTAGATCAAAAATCTTGTTTATTGTATTTTTTTTTAAACTTGATTTACTCAAAATGATTTATATGTAAAAAAGGGCTACTTTATTTGATAATCCTCCATATATCTCTATCTTTCACTCATTTTTCTATATTTATATTTTTCTTTAGAAATTGTTTAGTAAAATGATTCTTGACTTCCTCTAATTTTCTGCTTTTTTTGTAAAAAATTTTTTTTATTTTTTCTTTAAGTATTCTGTTAATCTTATGCTTCTTTTTTTTCGGTGTTAAGGTGAGGTCTTGCCTCATCTTTATTAGATATTAAACTTCACCTTATATGGCTACATATAATCTTAAGAATATCTTATGCTTCTATATAGTTTTCAAACAGACTATTGATTATTCTTTTTTAGTTTGAGATTATCATTTTATATCTTGATTTAATATAGTTTTTGATTTCATTTTTTTTTGCTTTATCTCTTCTTTTTTTTAGTTTTCATACAAAATTTTTCATTATATCTCTGTTTTTTTGTATATAATTTATTCTTGTTTTCCTTTCTAGCTTTTTAATATTTCTTTTTCATCTTTTATTTTTTTTAGTTTCTACCTTATATAAATTCTATTTATTAGATCCTGTATATATATATTGATAAAATTATTTTAGATTTCGGGGTACAAAATTAAAATTTGAAGACAAAATTGTTTTTTATCTATTTTCTTAAAAAATGAAATTTTTTGATATTTTTTTTGAAGAGACGAAATTATAAAGAATATAACTACCTAAATTAGATTTGCTTTTGCATATAAAAAATTCTAAATTGTGTTAATAGAGACAAAATAGAGTTTTTTTGAAAAGGTTTAGTTTTTTCGTGCATTTGTACAGTTGTGCACTCCTATAATCGACCAATCAAAATCGATCACGTGAAAATGTGATCGTCGCTCATAATCGGCCAATCAAAATTTATTACAGCTTATATAAAAAAATTTAAGTTTTTTTATTAATTAAAAAATAAAAAAAAATAAAAGCACAACGAAACAAACACACACGAAATTGTATTACCACAATGAAACTAATACTAATGCATAACTAAACTAAACTAATACATAACTAAACTAATATACACTGAAAACAAACAGCGTAATATCAATGATTTCAATGACAAAATCGGTCTAGATGAAAAGAAGTATTAAGACGAAATTACGACTAGAAGAGAGACATTAGTAAGTACAAAAAAAAAAAAAAAAACAACAACATAAACAACTCAAGCAATAAACTTACCCAACTCCAAATATGAAAACGATCATGAAGACACCAAAGGAAATGAAAATACTGAAAGAAATGAAGATATCGAAGAGAACAAAGATACCGAAGAGAATTATGTCAAAGGGAACGAAGATAGTGAAGGAAATGAAGATACTAAAGAGAATGAGGACACCAAAGAGAACGAAGGCACTGAAGAGAATAAAGGCACTGAAGAGAATAAAGACACTGAAAAGAACGAAGACACTGAAGGAAATGTAAATACCAAAGAAAGCGAAGATACCAAAAGAAGGAAAATACTGAAGAAAGCAAGGAAATAACCATGAAGACTCTGAGATCAATAAAATGCACCACTCGTAAAGACAACTAAATCTACTCTAGAAGAAAGAAAAAGCATGTTAAAACAAAAAAAAAGACAAGAGAAAACAATGAAACCCCAAAAAAAGAAACAAAATAAAAAAGAAGAAAGCGAAATAAAAAAGAAAAGTGAAAAAAAAGGAAAAGAAAGAAAGAAAAAAAAGAAACTAAAAACAAAAAAAAGAAAGACGAAAAAATGAAAAAAAAAGTAAAAAAAAAAAAACAAAGAAAAAAAAAGAAGAGCAAAAAAGAGAAGCGAAAAAGAAAAAATAAAAGACAAGAGAAAACAATGAAACCCAAAAAAAGAAACAAAATAAAAAAGAAGAAAGCAAAATAAAAATGAAAAGTAAAAAAAGAAGAGATAAAGCAAAAAAAAATGAAATCAAAAACTATATTAAATCAAGATATAAAATGATAATCTCAAA